CCCTACCTGTATTTCGACATGGGGGCGGCCGTGCTGTGTGCTAGCTTCATGTCCTTTGGAGTGAAGCGGCGCTGGTTCGCGCTGGGGGCCGCACTCCAGCTGGCCATTAGCACCTACGCCGCCTACATCGGGGGCTACGTCCACTACGGGGACTGGCTAAAGGTGAGCGCCTCGGCCCTAGAAGGGACTTCGCTATGCGTGATGGGGAGTCAAAGGCCAAAAAGCTCAGAGCAGTTGGTGGGTGATGCATGGTTCTGGCCAGGTGCACATTGTTAAGCCTGGGAGGGCTGAACCCCTAGGCTTGTAGACATTATGGACGGCAGAAATGGAAGGATCTTAGCAACCACACAAACCTCCCCTCCAGAGTGTGGAAACTTAGGTCCAGAGATGGGAAACACCTTCCCAACGTCACACCGCAGTTAGCATACTGGTAGGACCAGAAGTCACGTGATTCCCAGAATCTTTTAAACCTTTAGTTTAGGGCTGGCTGTGGTGGCTCACACCTGTAATCCTAGCACACTGGGAGGCTGAGGCTGGAGCTCAGGAGTTAGAGACCAGCCAGAGTAAGAGCAAGACCCTGTCTCTTTTCTAAAAATAGAAAAAAATTAGCTGGGCATGGTGGCACATGCCTGTAGTCCCAGCTACTCAGGAGGCTGAGGCAGGAGAATTGCTTGAGCCCAGGAGTTTGAGGTTGCTGTGAGCTAAGCTGATGCCACTGCACTCTAGCTTGAGCAACAGAGTGAGATTCTGTCTCAAAAACAAACAAACAAACAAAGAAAACCATTAGTTTAGCAATCCCAGATTCATAGAGCAAAAGGGACCTTGGAGAGTACATAGTTATCATAAAATCATCTAATTTTATGAAATTTAATCTTAGTGTAGCATTTAAACCTGTAAATGCCAGAACCTGTGCCAGGTGCTGCAGGCTTTTGGATAAGACGGGACAAAAGTACTACCCTCAAGGAAGGGACTGTCAGTCCAATAGGGGAGGCAGATGTGTGAACAGTTACAGGACAGTGAGATCAGTGGGTTTTTATTTATTTATGAAACAGGGTCTCACTCTGTCACCCATGCTGGAGTGCAGTGGTGAGATCATAGCTCATTACAACTTCAAAACCAGGGCTCAAGCAATCCTCCTACCTCAGCCTCCCAAGTAGCTGGAACTATAGGCACACACTACCTTGTCTGGCTAATATTTTTAAGATTTTCTGTAGAGACGGGTCTTACTATGTTGTCCAGGCTGGTCTCAGACTCCTGGCTTCAAGTGACCCTTCTGCCATGGCCTCCCTCACTGCTGGGATTACAGGCTTGAGCCACTGCTCCTGGCCTGGGTTTTTGTTTTTGTTGTTGCGTTTTAATGGAATAGACCATATACTATATAGAGGAAAGAACACCAGGAGGAGAGTCTGCAGACTTGGGGGTTGGGAAGGGGACAGTGCATGGTGTCTGGGTCTGCCACTTACTTTCTGTAGGACCTTGGAGAATTTTCTTAACCCCTTTGGGCCTCAGTTTCCACTTCTGTAAAAAAGAATTATCTATCTCTGCTGTACCTGCCCACCAAGCTTGGAAATGGTAAGAGGGTTCATCAGATGGAATGGGATGTGTAGAGATGGGCAGTTTTACTGTCTGAGCAGCCAGAAGAAATGTGGCTGCAGTTCCTGACTGGGGTCCCCTTGCCCTGGCCTAGGTCCGTATGTACTCGCGCACAGTTGCCATCATTGGCGGCTTTCTTGTGCTTGCCAGCGGTGCTGGGGAGCTGTACCGTCGGAAACCCCGCAGCCGCTCCCTGCAGTCCACCGGCCAGGTGTTCCTGGGCATCTACCTCATCTGTGTGGTAGGTTGGGGAACTATTGGTTGGAGGTGTCTGGCTGGGAGTGAAATGTGAGCCCAAGCCCGGTAGAACCACAGGAAGGTGGGCAGAACAAGGCCTTGTATGCAGTTCCTGAAGGCCTGGCTCCTGGCAGTTGCCCGGGCAGCTTCCAGACCTTCCAAATGCCTGAGAGCCTGGCTGAGAGCCCCTTCTTCCAACATTATCACCACCAGGTAGAGAAGAAGTTGGATTGACCATTCAATCCTAACCCTGAGTGCCAAGAGAACAAGATGGGCTGATTCTCTCATGGCTCAAGCCCCCAGAGGGCTGGGAGAGGAGACAAAGAAGTTTGGTGGGGATATGGTCCCAGCTGGGACTCTGCCCCTTAAGGCTGATGGGGGCTGCCTGGGGTAGCCAGTTATAGTCCTCCCTGGTGTCAGGGGAGGCCAGTGTGGATGGGGACATGGACAGGCCCCAGGCCACTTAGTGGCCTGATTTTAGTTACTGGGTATCGTACATCATATGCAAAGCTCTGTGTGGGCTTTCGTGGTCTATTCAGAGGTGGGAGCTCCAGTCTGACTGTGGAGACACACTTTTTTCCTCCAGAGCCCCCAGGGTGAGGGGAGATAGAGTTCCTAACCTCCTGGGCCTGCGTAGTCTGAGGGGGAGAGAGAGGCCCTCCTTTGTGTTTTAGAAAGTCCCCAGCCTGAGCGAGGGGGTCAGAAGCCCACCTTCCAGGGGCTGACTTGCAGGTGCCATCTCAGGGGTGGCCTTCCCCAGACGGGCTTCTGAGCCTTTTGGAGAGTCTTAGAGGATGGTGTGTCTCCAGGCCTACTCGCTGCAGCACAGCAAGGAGGACCGGCTGGCGTATCTGAACCATCTCCCAGGAGGGGAGCTGATGATCCAGCTGTTCTTCGTGCTGTACGGCGTCCTGGCCCTGGCCTTCCTGTCGGGCTACTACGTGACCCTGGCTGCCCAGATCCTGGCTGTCCTGCTGCCCCCAGTCATGCTGCTCATTGATGGCAATGTTGCCTACTGGCACAACACACGGCGTGTTGAGTTCTGGAACCAGATGAAACTCCTTGGAGAGAGTGTGGGCATCTTTGGGGCTGTTGTCATCCTGGCCACTGATGGCTGAGTTTCATGGAGAGAGGCTGAGATGGGCACAGGGAGCCACTGAGGGCCACCCTGCCTTCCTCCTTGCTGGCCCAGTTGCTGTTTATTTATGCTTTTTGATCTGTTTGTTTGCTTTTTTTTTTTTTTTAATTATTTTTTTGCATTGTTAAGAGGCAGGTGTTTTCCCTAAATTCCTAGGCCCAACACTTGGCAGGGTGGGAGGCCTGGCACTAATGCCTCAGGTTTTTTTTCCCTGTTTGTTAGGAGAGCTGAGGCCAGCTGCTCCCTGAGTCTCCTGTCCCTGAGAAGGGAGTAAGGCGGGCAGGGCTGTGGGTACTAAGAGTGGGAGACAAGGAAGGAAGATGGAAATCGGAAATGAGCAAATGTGAAAAATTCCTTTTCAAACCTGGCAGATGCAGCTAGTCTCTGTGTTGCTTCCCAGAGACTGAGATGTGTGTTGACACACGTGCCTTAGGCCCGAGAGGAGCAAAGGGCCTGGGTACCACAGAAGTCACGTGGGTTCTCAGGGTATGCCGGGGCAGAAACAGTACTAGCTCTCTGTCATCTATCTTGAGAGCAGAGCAGGCCTTGGTCTGCTCTGGGCTATGCAGGGGTGGAGCGGGCAGCGTCCAGCTTCTCCCCAGCTGCAGCCTCTGTTTCCAGCTCTGTGGTTGGCCTGGTAGGGGTGGAGTGCCCTCCCAAACACCAGACCACACGGTCCTCCAAAAATAAACATTTTATATAGACATTTGGTTTTGCTTCTCCATTCTCCCCACGGGGCACTTTGCCATTGGTTGAGATTGCTCTTGGGTTTCTTGAAAGACTGTATCTGGTTAAGCTGTATCTGTCATCTTTCCCCTGTTCCTAGATTTCCCACAGGTCTTTGGTTCTCTTTTTAAGAATGTCAGAATCCTCACAGTATTATATGCTTTTGATCTCACCCTAGCCCCTCTTCTTGTAGCTTGTCTTTTCCTCCCCATTTGGAGCTTGTTCTTTTGAAGAAATCTCTGGTGAGAGGAGCTGGAGGAAGAGAACTAACATTAAGTGTCCACTATGAAGCTGAGTATTTTATATTTTATACATGAGGAAATAGAGGCTCAGAGAAGGTAAGCAGCTTGCCTCAAGCCACAGAGCAAATCCTGGCCAGGGCAGCTGGATTCTAGGTGAGGCCTATCTAATGCCCAAGCTCATATGTGTACTCAACATGACCCATTCTCTGGGGGAAGACAGAGGCTGCTCTTGGGGCCTCAGTTCTGTCACTGTCCCTGCTGTGCCTCAGTGGTCTTTTCATTGACCATCTCCCTATGTGTCCATGCTCTTTCTGCCAGAAAGCAGCCCCAGCAGCAGCCGGTGTGGTGCCTGGCACAATGTGGGCCTTCAAAAAAATGTCTAAGGGAAACTCCAGGCTTTGGACTCCTGCCCATCTGAGGCACGCTGGTACTGCAGAGACTGGACACAACCTCTATGGTAGAGCCTGGGGCAGGGGTCCTCAAACTTTTTAAACGGGGCCAGTTCACTGTCCCTCAGACTGTTGGAGGGCCGTTGGAGAGTGCGACGCACATTCCACACATGTGCACTGTGTGCCCGGGACAAGTCGCCTGCTAAGCAGGACAGGCATCGGCGCAAAAACACCCAGTGGGCTGGATAAATGTCCTTGGTGGGCCACATGTGGCCCATGGGCCGTAGTTTGAGGACCCCTGGCCTGGGGGAAACATCCAAGCTTGGGCTTTTAAACCAAAGCCATCTTGTGGCTTCTCTGGGCTCTTGCAGGTGAAAGATGAGCCACAGCTTTCTGGGCTTGGCACTGAGCCCAGCCTGGAAAGGGAGCCATGAGTGGAGGCACCCACAGGGAAGGAGCTGGGGCTCCTGTCGCCTGGTCTGTGGCATGGTGTAGGGATGGGAAGCCCCTCGGGGCTGCTGACACCCAGGTGAGGGAGACAGTGGCAGCATTCATCCTGGGGCCCTCCATCCCACTAGCAACTCTACTCCCTCCAGGAACCCCTGGTTCCCCAGCCCTAGAGATCTTACTCCCAGAAGGTCACCCCCTAATTTCCTTTCAAGTGTGAGCTTACTCTTAGACAAGTATTTGTGTTTTAATCAAGGCCTCCTGAAAAACTGCTGCAAGACCCAAAGGAATTAAAATGAGTGGTATTCACTCTGCATTGAGTAAGATAAAAAATAAAAATAATAAAATGAGTGGTAGAATATCAGGCAGGCAAGGGTGATATTTTGGGTAAGGGAGCCTCAAAACACGGCACAGAGGCCACAGAAAACTGACCCACCCTTGAGGTTAGCCCTGAGCAGAGCCCTGGAAGGCACTGCCCCCCTCCCCCATTCCCAGGTTGAAAATTGAAGGCTATCTGGTTGTGGCTTTGGGGCAAGTCAGGGGATTGGGCTGGCACCCCCCCCTTCCTGTGCTTGTCCCACTGGGGTGCCTGCTCTGGGTAGAGCCAAGGCTGCTTCTTCCTCTACAGATCACTCAACCAGCAAGCCCCATCCAGTCTGTGGCTGCCTGGGGTCACCCTCAACAGGCATGGCTTTTGGTTCATCCTGGCTGTCCCAGGGCCAGGGTGGGGGGTGGTCTGTAGTCAGCTGCCTGGGTCAGAAGATGGCTTGCAGAAGGAGTCTGGCAGCCCCTTGGCATGGTTGACCAACTCGTAGGAGTCCCGAATATCTGCCAGGCCAAACCAGAAGAAGATCCACTGCTTGTTGGAGAAGCTTCCATCACTGTGCTTGAAGTACCTGGGTCAGGGGCAGTGGAAGGCAGGTTTTAGAGCAAAGCCAGTGCTCACTACTCACTGATTCTGTTTTGTTTTTTAATTTTAATTTTTTTCTTGAGACAGGGTCTTGCTCTGTCACCTAGGCTCTAGAGTGCAGTGGCATCATCATAGCTTACTGCAACCTCAAACTCCTGGCAAGTGATCCTCCCATCTCAGCCTCCCAATGTGCTACAATTACAAGTGTGATCCACCACACCTGGCACTGATTCTGTTTTCAAAAAACATTTAAGGACCTATGACATGCTATATACCCCGCTGGAACCTGTTATCTGTTATCTCATTTTATCCTCACAGCAGGGGCCTGAGTCTGGTATTGTTTTTTTTAATTAATTTTTTTTTTTTTTAATGAGACAGAGTCTCACTGTGTTGCTCAGGCTAGAGTGCCGTGGTGTCAGCCTAGCTCACAGCAACCTCAAACTCCTGGGCTCAAATGATCCTTCTGTCTAAGCCTCCTGTGTAGCTGGGACTACGGGCATGTGCCACCGTGCCCGGCTAATTTTTTTCTATATATACATTTTAAGTTGGCCAATTAATTTCTTTCCATTTTTAGTAGAGACAGGGTCTCACTATTGCTCAGGCTGGTTTCAAACTCCTGACCTTGAGCGATCCACTTGCCTCAGCCTCCCAGAGAGCTAGGATTACAGGTGTGAGCCACCGCGCCTGGCCAGGAGTCTGGTATTGTTATTTCATAGGAGCAGGTAAGGCTCAGAGAAGTTAGATAATTTGCCAGGGTCACAGAGCTAGGAAGGTCAAAGTAAGGACCTTCCTTGCTCTCTCCACTCTATCTTGGGCCATGCAGCAGAGAGAGGGTTCTTGTTCACTTCTTAGTGCCCACAGGCAGGGTAGTAAGGGATGAAGGATAACTGCTGAAGGATGGAGTGGAGCGGCTGTGCCACGGGAAGTGCAATGGGCCTGGGGTCAGGAGCTTGGTTATTGGGCCTGAAATAGAGCCTGAAGGGTTAGGATGTGTGAGGCTTAGGAGGTGCCACTCGCTTTAAGGAAAGCAGGGTTAGGTGTGGTCTACCTCTAGAGAAATCTCAGGCTCCCTGTGTGGTTGGCCCCCTGGGGAATGTCACTGGGCGACACTGGGCGGGCCCTTCCCAGGGGAAGGGAGGTGGTCTTGGCTGGTGAACCCAGGGGCCAGGTTGGCCAAGGCTGGAGAGGAGATGGCGGGGCCAGCCCAGAGCTGGGAGGGGCAGGACCTACCACGGATTGATGGGGTTGGTGACCCGGGAGCGCCAGAAAAGCGTCTGCAGGTCCTGCCGCAGGCACTCCCACAGCATCTGGCCGGAGCCTTGACCCTGGCGGCTGGAGCTCACCACAAATTTGTCCAGGTACGGGGTGCCCCCCAGTACGGGCTCCATGGTCAGAATGGCCGCCGCGTTGTACCTGGCGCATCAGGAGAGAGGCAGGCTGGGACCTCTCTTTGTCCCGAAGCTGCCCGACTGTGTCCCTCGCACTCTGCCCTATGGGGCCCGCAGGCTCACCCCTCAGAGACGTAGATGCAGTGCAGCCGCGAGCGCAACGAGGCCAGGTAGTCGTCCCGGAGCTTCTTGCCGAAGCTGGCGTTGACCAGGGCCACGAGACGGCCCTGGTCCAGGCTGTCCAGGTTGCGCACCCGCAGCATCCGCTCTGCGTTCTTGAACAGGGTTCCGGACCCTGCAGGAGAGAGGAAATCGGAGGGGCTCGTTAAGCCCGAGAGTCCGGCCCCACCCACCCCTCCGTCTCGCAGCCCGGTGGGGGCTGTAGGTAGGGTAGGGGCCGGTGGGCCGTTGTCCCTCTGTGGGAGACCTCTGCAACGAAGCGATTCTGTCGTCTGCATGCATTTGTTTGTGATTCTCACTCAAGGAGATGCTTTACTCAAGCTCCGCCCATCGCCTGTAGTCCCACCCACTTCCCTTAATCCCGCCTCTCTCCCTAAAGTCTACCACCCCCCTGGTCCCGCCCCTACGATCCCCGCCCATTTACAATTGCTCCCGCCCACTCAAGTCCCGCCCCTCTCCTTAGTTCCACCGAAGTTGCATCCCAGTCCGGTGGGTCTCCTGCTCTGCACAGCTCGCAGGTTTGGACAGGAGCAGGAAGCCATTGCTGTGCCGTCGCCCTGCGGCTTCTGGGCGGGTGGGGAAGCCGCTACTCCTGCTCACCCCGGTGACACCCCCGGGACACAGCTCCTGCCCGCCCGCGTCCGCACCCCTGTTGCTGAAGAGCTCGGTGAGCAGCGTGCTGGAGGCAGTGATGACCGCCGAGGAGTGGTGGGGCAGGCGGCTGAGCACGTCCACGATGAGCCGCATCTGCTGCCGTTCTTTGGTGCTCAACCAGTCGGCGTTGGTCACCAGGTCCAGGTCGGCGGGCAGGTTCACGTTACTCAGGACCTGCGTCCAGAGCGAGGGGGTGAGCCTCCAGCCCACAGCCGGCCACGGACCGCTCCCCTGACTTCCTGACCTGCCTCGCAGACCTCTCCTCTCTGGCCCCTTTGCCCTTATTTCCTCCCGTAGTCCTCGGTCTGGCAGGGCTCAGATCTGAGCACCGGGGCCTGAACCCCTTCCAGGCACTCCATTCTGCTTTCCTACCCACTGGGCTTACGAGGGACTCTGCGGCCCATCCAGGAGGCGTGCAAGGGGGTAAGAGAGGGGGCTCAGCCAGGCCCGGAGTCGCGAGGTGGGGTGCACGAAAGGAAGGGCGCACCTTCTGACTGCCGTCGCGCAGGCCGCCTGTGTTATTGAGGAAGATGATTTTGGTGGGCCGCAGCGCCTTGGCCAGCGACGCGGTCACCTCCAGCGAGTCGAGAAGCACCGAGCGGCGCGCGTCGGTCTCTCCGATGGGGCATAGGATGGGGATGCTGCCCGACTCCAGGCACCACTGCAGCAGGTCCGTCTCCACTGAGACGACGCCGCCGTAGCTGTGGGCCAGACATAGTGCTCGAGAGGGCCCCCTCCAGGCCCGCCGGTCTAGGCAGGACTGGCCAGAGTAGCGCGCCCTGAGGATGCGCAGGGGCGGGGAGGGCCGTCGCTAACCTGGCATGGGGAGCTGGCTCGGCAGCGCCTAGCACCGACCCGCCGCCAAAAAAAGGCACAGCAGTGGCGGCGTTGTGCCGTAACGCGTCCACCAGCACCTTACAGCTCTGGGCAAGCTGCGCCTTGGCCTCCCAGAAGGAAAGACAGCCCGAGGGCGCCGTGGGGGCGGGCAGCCCCAGGACCACCAACGGCTTCATGTCCATGCGCTGCAGGAAGGCCAGGGCAAAGGCCAGGCTGGATACGGCCTGCTGGCACTTGAACACCTCCTCGTCTACCTGCGGAGGAGTGGGTGTTCAGGGGGCACGACACTGCCCGGAGCCTCTTGCTCCTATAGCCCGGCCCTCAGGTCCCCTAGGTAACCCCACGCTGCCCAGGAAGCTATTAGACCCCACTTCTGGTCACGGGTGCCCACCTGCTCCGCCCTTTGCCCGGTTGGGTCTTGCTACTCCCTTATCTCACATTATTCCCTCCACTCCTCCCTTCGACCTTGGACTCTGGGGCACCTTGGGGGCAGGGTTAATGCAAGCAGCTCCTATTCCGGTCCATATGAACCCCTAACTGCGCCCATGGTGGGGTGCGATCTCCAAGCTCACTTGGGCTGGGTGCGAGGCTTCTGGGGGAGCTCACGACCTTGCCCATCCCTGGCACGGGTCTGGGTTCCTCCGCGCCCCTTCCGTGCTCCTCTGCGCAGTCTGCAGCCTGTACTGCCATGCCTGACGACCTGTCGCCACACAACCCCCATCCCCTTGCTGTGACAGACAGATGCCGAGCTCCGCTCACCTCGATGACGGCGAACGGCTTGTCCGCGGAGTGGTAGGAGGTCTGGAACTGCGTGAGCCAGTGGCGCGCCTCCCCCGGGCTGGCCCCGCACTGGTTCAGGAAGGCCTGGATGTCCCGCTGCACCAGTGAGCGACCAACCGGCGGCTCGGGGGACTCAGAGACCACCGGGGGTGCGGGAGTTGGAGTCCCCGACGGCTCCTCTGCCTCCTCCCGCGGGGGCTGGGCCTGCGCCCAGGCTGTGCTGAGCTGGCGCCCCGGGCTGGCGCCCCCCGCCGCCCGCCGCTGCGCGCTGCCGCTCAGCCTCCGGGCGCCCCCAGTGCCTCGGGGACAGCGAAGCCTCCCGCCCACAGCCGTGGCCCGAAGTGCGGTGGCCACCCGCGCCGTCGCCATGACAACCAACCCACTTGCCCCCCCAAGCGTGGCAGCCTGTCTGGAGCGTCTGACACTGGGGGGCTCTTAACTTGCGGCGGGGCGGGGCTGGATCAGGCCGGGGCGGGGTCCAGCCTGGGCGCGTTTGAGGAGGGTCAGGCCACAGGTCAGGGGGCGGAGCCTCCAGGATCCCCGCCCCTGGAGGGACTAAACCACTATCTAGGATCACGAGGCTGAGATTAAGGGTGGCGGGCCATCTTTAATCTGCTGCCAAGGCAAGTTCCAGGAAGGGCTCAGCCGACCCAGAGGTGGCTTTGGGAGCCTTCGGAGTCTTGGATGATTAAACGGGACGCTGACTAGGGCAGGAAGGGAGAGCTGGTGGCAGCACAGGACTCAGAGAGGCGCTGGAAGGACAGATGGGAGAAGAGTAAGGAGGGTGGAGGGGTGCAGGCCTTGCTGGAGAGTGTGGGTGCGTCCATACCATTGTCTGAGCTCAAAGAAGATTGGAATGATCCTGAGGTTACCAGGGTTTGCCGAGTTCCAGTCACTGGGTACCACCTTGAGAAGTTTTGTTTCTTTAATTTATTTTTTGTTTTTATTTTTTTAGAGATGAAGTCTCGCTATGTTGTCCAACCTGGCCTCAAGCAATTCTCCCTCCTCACCTTCTGAATGGCTGGGACTACAGGTTTATGAGATTACAGGCTATCGATGCCCTGTTTACCTTGAGGAATTTTGTCTTTTCTTCAAAACACTCATTAATATTAAAGTCTCTTGCTCAAGCTGGTCTCGACCTCCTGAGCTCAAACGATCCAGCCTCCCAGAGTGCTACAATTACAGACGTGGGCCACCGTGCCCGGCCTAATGCTTTTCTTTAAATTTAAAGTTTATCTGTATCAGAACTATAGCTAGAAGACTGGCATCACTTGCTGTAAACAGGAGAAGGCCCTAAGAATCAAGTGAGAACAAAACGATGTTACTAAATTGCAGCTGGATAGTGTTTTTTTTTTTTTTTTTTTTTGAGACAGAGTCTCACTTTGTTGCCCAGGCTAGAGTGAGTGCCATGGCGTCAGCCTGGCTCACAGCAGCCTCAAATTCCTGGGCTCAAGTGATCCTGCTGCCTCAGCCTCCTGAGTAGCTGATACTACAGGCATGCGCCACCATGCCCGGCTAATTTTTTCTATATATATTAGTTGGCCAATTAATTTCTTTCTATTTATAGTAGAGATGGGGTCTGGCTCTTGCTCAGGTTGGTTTCCAACTCCTGAGCTCAAACAATCAGCCTCCCAGAGAGCTAGGATTACAGGCGTGAGCCACCGCGCCCGGCCTGCAGCTGGATAGTATTGCCTGCTGCTCTGTCCTAACATGGAAGTTACCACGTGAGGCTGCCTTTTTGGTAGAATCACAGCTGACATGTGCAGAATGGCAGGCAGTGTGCACATGGCTTCACAAACAGTGACTCATTTAATCTTTGCAGTGACTCCAGGACGGGTATTACTATTACCCACCTTTTACAGGTGAGAAAATTGAAGCACAGAAATATGTGAGGGCCAAGATCACTCAGGTCACAGTGGAGCTGGTCTTGGAAGCAAAGCTGTTCTGCTCCAGATCCATGCTCTTTTTTTCTTTGAGACAGGGTCTTGCCCTGTCATCTGGGCTTGAGTACAGTGGTACCATCATAGCTCACTGCAGCCTCCATCCTCCTGCCTCAGCCTCCCGAGTAATTGGGACTACAGGTGCAAGCCGCCACACCCAGCTAATCTTTTCTATTTTTAGTAGAGATGGGGTCTCACTCTTGCTCAGGCTGGTCTCAAACTCCTGAGCTCAAGTAATCCTTCCCAAAGTGCTAGGATTACGGGTGTGAGCCACCACACCTGGCCCCAGATCAGTCCCAGATCAATGCTCTTAAGCAAGATTTGGAAAAGACTTGAAAGACTTGAAAACTTTCACAGGATGTGATTCAATATTACCTAATACTGTGTTACGTGCTGCCTGAAAGCACCTCCTCGCGCTGTCAGTCGTGCACATCCTGCGCTCAGGAACACTGTGATCCAGTCCCATACTGTTGTTATAGAGGAGGAAATAGGGCCCTCTATTGTTGTTGAGGGGAGGGTTGGTGACTTGGCCAAGGTCACACAGCTTGTCAGTGTCATGGCCAGACCCTAGGCATTCCAAGTTCCCACCCCCTGCTCTTTCCTTCCTTGTGTGGGGTTTTGTGCTCTCCATGCTGGGAGTGGGGACTCCTGGGCTCTGCCTAAATGGACAGCTTCTCCTCTGAGTATTCCAGAAGATGCTGGGCGAGTGTGCCAGGCCCATCCTGACATCTCTCCTGCTAACACTGTCCCAGGCAGGAGACTCTGGAGAAGGGAGCTGACCGTGTGACCAACTCATTGGCTATTTCATTTTCCTATTTAGAAATCTTGGGCTCCGAGGCAGGGAGTGAGGCATGACGCAATGGCATGCAAGGTCTGCACCTCCCCTTCCCTGTGAGGCCACTCAGGAGCTCTTCCCTCTTTACTGCCCACCCCCAACCACACTTCTAGGAATTCACCAGAGGAGGTGGTCCCAGCCCCTGGGGCCATAATAGTTTTCCTCTCCAAACTCCTCCTACCCTTAGAGCCCCAGTCTCAAGTGTGCCTCTTCTTCCTGGCTGGCTGTCCGAGCTCCATCACCCTCCCCGGCCCCTCTTCTCTTCTGTCTCCCTGTCTTCTTTGTCTTAGACTGGAACTCCTGAGGGCAGGGCTGGGGTCTCTTTCCTCAGACTGGGAGGCTCCTGAGGGCCGGGCCATTTCAGTAGGTGCCGACTGCATCAGCCCATGTCCCTTGAGCCCATGGGACAGAGGCTGGCTGGGAAGATGAATCTGACTCCTTTGGGCTTCATCCCAGAGGGCCGTGTCCCCAGGCAGCCAATGGGACCCAGGGATACCCTGAGTAGATGATTAACTCAAGGCCCATTGACCTGGGGCCACTGTGTCCCCACTGCCTCTCCCTGGAGGAGGGCCAGGCTCTGGTGGGGGAACTAGCCCCACTTCCTGGAGGAGATGAGTGTGGGTGTGTGAAGTCAACAGCCCACCTGCCCCTGCCCCTCTGGATAGAAGGCCCCCGGGATCATTGTTGGTCTGTGGTTTCAGTGCAAATGTTCTTCCCTCTTCTCCAAAACTGGCGGTTTTTGCTTTGTTTTGTTTTTGTAGAGCAGACCCTGTTGTCAATGTGCCCAGAATCAGGGTCCTTGCTTCTCACCAGGCCTTGGATCTTGGAGATGTCCCCAGGGCAAAGACACGGGCTTCCAACCCCTCCAGATGCCTCCCCCAGAAGGGTCCTCAGCCCTCAGCACAGGAGCTGGTTTGAAGGTCAAGGCTTTGCCTCCCATACAGCCGTTCTTGGCTGCAACTCAGCAGGGGCGGGGGGAGTATGGAGGTAACAGGAATCTGGGCTGGGTGAGGGGCTAGGGTTGACGGCTGACATCCCACATCACAGCACCTGAGGGAGACAAGCACACAGATACACACAGTACACAGATATAGAGACCCGCACGGTGCGCTGAGATGCACTGATACACAGGTGAGCAGACACACCAGTGTATAGAGAAACATGGAGAGCCGCACCAGTCACACGGGCGCAGGTGCACAAGAGAGGTACACGCGTATAGACACACAGGTGCAAAGAGAGACACAGATCCACTCTGACATGTTTGCATACAGAATTGTACACATTCACAGAGGCTCTCTCTCAGCGACTGTGTCATACATAGGAACACACACGTAGACATGGAAAGATACTGAAAACACGCAAAAATACCCCAGTTGTAGTCATTGGCAACTACAGGACGCATAAACACACCCAGAGAGGCACAGACCTCTCCTGAGAATGCCATCCGCCCTCATCTAAAAAGACATACACCCAGGTCCAGCCAAAGTCAGATGCAGGGCAGCCCTCTGGCCTTGTCACACTCACGAGACAGAAACCCTGGTTAAATCCACCCCTCCGTCTATTCTGTCCCTGCGTCATGCAGCTGAACTCAGGTGATGGCTGGAGAAAGATGCACAACTTGATGCCTGGTCTCGCTTTTTATTTTTTTGGTAGAGATGAGATCTCATTATGTTGTCCAGGCTGGTCTCAAACTCCTGGCCTCAAGCGATCCTCCAACCTCAGCCTCCCAAGTCACTGGGATTATGGGTATGAGCTACCGCGCCTGGTTGGTCTCACTTTAAATTTACAACCAAAAACCACAAAGCCTTGGTGTGCTGCCAGGCTGAAGCCATTCATTATCTCTCCCAAACAACCATTTCTCCCCTTCTCTCCTCACCCCCCGACCCCCCGCACCTCCTTCCCATCACTCTCAGCCTCCTGCCCATTGAGAAAAGAGAAGCTCTCAGAAAGCTGCTGCACCCACGTCTCTCCCTCTACCCATCCTGTAGATGCACAGCCATGTGCCCATCTCACACTGTCCCTGCCCAGGTGCGTGGCCCCATCCCCTCCCTCCCCCTGGGCATTGCTCCGAGTCCCCCCTCTGCTCTTCCATGGCCAGTTATTCTCCATCGTAACAAACCTCTGGCCTCCACCCGCACTCCGCTCCCTGGTCAACGCCTGCTGCCCCATGTCTTTGGTCCTTTTTAGCTTCGAAGTTCCAGGAAATAGCTGACAAATTTGCTGCCTTCAGATCCTCAGTCCTGTTCCCTCTCAGACCATCACTCCCCACCCCACCAAAACTACTCTTGTCAAGGTCACTGGTGACCACTGTGTTGCTAAATCTAAGCGTTAATTCTCAGCCAGTCTCCCCCTGGACCAATTTATTGGCAATCTTTGCCTCTCTGTTTGCTCAGTTTCTGGGAGCCCCCTTCCTCCTCCCTTGCCGGCTGCTCTTTCTCACACCCCTGCCTGTCCTTCCTCTTTTCCCTGGTCTCTTACCCTTGGGTAACCTGGGGCTCAGGCCTTGGACTTCTTCCCTCCTTTCTTGCTCCCTGGGGCCTATCTGGCTTTATGACTTAAATACCATCTGCAAGCTGATGGTTCCTACCTTTTGACTTTCAGCCCAGACCCTTCTTCTGAACACCAGATTTGTGTCTCTACCTTCTAAACCCCTTGGATCTGTAATAGACATGGGGTAGACATCGTCCATCCAGTGTGTGTAAATCCGAGCTTCTTTCCCCACCTTGTGGCCAAGTCTGCTTTACTCACATCTTCCCTGTCTCAGGTGATGGTAACAGTTTCCTGTTTTCTCAGGGCCCTGAGTCTATAGTGTGTGTGTGTGTATATATATATATATATATTATTATACTATATATATATATATAATATATATTTTTTTTTTTTTTTTTTTTTTTTTTTTTTTTGAGACAGAGTCTCACTTTGTTGCCCAGGCTAGAGTGAGTGCCGTGGCGT